GTGACATGATTCAGTAATAACTGCTACAAAAGTTGGTACAGAGAAGTGAAGGGCTACATAGCAAAAAACCCAAACTGATGGTACTTAGGCTTTGGGGCTCGAGGGAGGCTGAAAAACTGTTAGCAGAGGCTAGATAATGCTGACCAACTGCTGAGAAGCTGATAAGAAACAATTTGGTAAGACAGCTTTCCCTGGCACCTTAAAAAAACAGAAAATGTAACTAATTTTGGCTTTGGCCTGGAATAGTTACAGGCAAAATGGAGAAAGCGCCACCTTGTGGCAATTAGTTGCATGGGGTTAAAGTACTATAAGAAAGTTGACCCTTTTTTTTTCTTCATATATTGAATACAAGTATGTTGAGGAAGGGGGGGAGCAGGTGACTTCTCTTTATATTTCATAGGTCCTGGATCAAGGGGAGCTGCATCTGGACCTGATATATATTAGGGAATCCTAGACTTGAAACCGATACTATTACTGTATGACATCTTTGGAAGTCTTGCGAGTGAATGAGTATTTCTTATGCAGAGGGACCATGATTATGGCCAGAATAAAATGGTAGATGAGTTGCATTAATTGATTATGGTAGATCAGTTGCATTAATGGTCTCAATTCTTAACCTCTTCTGTATCCACACCCTTGCATTATGTGACTCTATAGTTTTGCTAAAAAGAAATTCTATTCCTGTGCTTATTGATTATGAATTTGGCCAGGCAACTTGACAAATGGGATGTGAGACTTGAAAAAAATACATAGTGTGTCCTTTTCCTCCCTTGCTCCTTTGCCTTCTTCCTGAGAACACCTAGACTAATCCGCTGCAGGACGAGGTTCACAAAGCAGAGCTAAGTCAGTCAAATGTTGCCTCACACTGGGGTGTCTTGGACGACCCAGAGTCAGGTGCCGGGCATGTGAATGAGCCCAGTTGTTCACAGCCTGAGTCACTGACACACAGACTTAAAAGATAAACAAGGTTAATCGTTGTATGCCCTTGAGGCTTTGTGATTGTAACACATCATTATTGTGGAAACGGATAACCAGTCATGTATGATAGAATACTATATATAATAAATCATGATACAAAAAGCATATAAAGGGTTAGTGAAAAACTAATTTTGTTTTGAAAAAGTAAGTTGCAAAGCAACCTTTAAATGGATACAATTTTAAATAGAATTTATTAACAAAATAATTTATTGTAGACTGTCACTTATGGTAGTTGAAGACCAAGAATTTTTGAGATGTTCCCAAAGCTATGAATGAATCTTAAGTCAAAATAGTCTAAAAATCATGTAACTGAAAAACCTTTTCTCAGATTTTATGTCCAAAAAAGTTAGTAATTCCATTATTGCCACTTGAGCCTGAGTATCTTGAAGTATTGAAGATATACAAAATAGTGTCTGGAGGTATACGCTAATAGCTGCTGGTGATTTTGAGGAGTTAGTTTTCCCTA